TCTTTGGGGTAAATACCCAGTAGTGCAATTGCAGGGTCATAGGGAAGCTCTATTTTTAATTTCTTGAGGCATCTCCACACTTCAACGGTGTTTATTAAATAAATGAGTAAGTTATCTATGGTTTCGCTTACTTGTGGAGCATAACAAATAGCGTGGAGGACGAGGGGAGATGGAGAGGAGAAGGGAGTTGAGGGAAATTGGAAGGGGAGGTGAACCATGAGAGACTATGGACTCTGAAAAACAATCTGAGGGGTTTGAAGGGGCGGGGGGGGGGGGGGAAGATTGGGGGAGCCAGGTGGTGGGTATTGGAGAGGGCACGGATTGCATGGCGCACTGGGTGTGGTACAAAAACAATGAATACTGTTCCGCTGAAAATAAATAAAAGAATTAAAAAAAAATAAACACCGTTGACTTCCTTATGCATAGCAGGGTTACTTGCTATCGAAGGCAGCAGGGTCCTTCCCTTTGGAGCTTTCACTCTGATGGAGAAAAGTGAGATACTGTCAGTAGACAACAAGGCAGTTAAAACAGATGGACAGTAAGGGCACCCGGGTGGCTCAGTTGATTAAGCCTCCAACAGTTCAGCTCAGGTTTTGATCTCAAGGTCATGAGTTCAAGTCCTACGTTGGGCCACTGCTGGGCCTGGAGCCTACTTAAAAAAAAGAAAAAAAAACCAAATGGATGATGAAAGAAGTAAGAAACAGGCCATGAGGAGAAGACATTTAGCCGGCCCAACCTAGTTAAGTTGGGGTGTCGGCAGGGAGCAAGCGGAGGCAAGAAAGTAACATCGGAAGCTATTAGAGCAGTGCAGAGGGGAGGTAGTGAGGGATCACACTGGACAATTTCCTTGAAAACCAATTAAGCAAATTAACTCGTGCTTCTCTACAGAATGAACTATTTAGAAACAGTTTATGAAACCTAAAGAGTAAAACAGTGTTACTGGGACACTGAGGGTATCTGGCTGGCTCAGTTGGAAGAACATGGGACTCTTGATTGATCTCAGGATCATGAGTTCGAGATTACTGCAAAAAAAAAAAAAAAGTCAATGTAACTAAATGCAGCGTGGTATCCTGAGTTGGATTGGGAAACACAGAAAGATTATGAGTAGCCAAACTGTGTGATCCAATTAGGCTTGCTAGGTCCTTGGAGGGGGTAACAGAGAGTGATTTGGGTAAGGAATTTTCCTTTGGGGTGATTAAAATGTTCTGGAACCAGATAGTGGTGAAGGTTGGACAAACACTATGAATGTACTGTCACTAATGGTAAATTTTGTTATGTGTTTTATCACTGTTTTGAAAGGCCACAAAAAGACATATCTTAAAAATTATGAAATCTGGCATTAACTGTTTAGTTTTGACAAATACTATGATTATGTTAGATGTGAACATTAGGGGAGGCTGGGTGATGAGTGTGTGGGAACTGTGCATGAACTTTGCTACTTTTCTGTAAATCTAAAATTATTCCAAAATGAAAATTGTTTTAAAAAATATGAAAAAAATGCATGTGTCCAGTTTTTTTTTTTTTAAGATATCACATTGTGCGTGTTTCTGTTTCTACGCATCTTTCATCTTCTGAAATATAAGTCCCTTTGAGGGCAAATGTACAATGTGGGTCTCTTTGGTATCATTTTCCCCCCAGCTTTACTGAAGTATAATTGACAAATAAAAATTGTGTATATTTAAGATGTACAACGTGATGATTTGATATACCTACACATTGTGAAATAATTTGCACAATCAAGCTATTTAATACGTCTGCTACCTCACATAGTCACCATTTGTGTGTGTATAGTAAGAACACTTACTCTCAGCAAATTTCAAGTATAGAATACAGTATCATTAACTATAGTCACCATACGGTACATTAGATCCCCAGAACTTACTCAGGGTGGCTCAGCTGGTTGAGCGTCTGGCCCTGGATTTTGGCTCAGGTCATGATCTTAGGGTCCTGAGACTGGGCCCGTGTTGGGCTCTGTGCTCAGTGGAAAGTCTGCTGGATATTCTCTCTCCCTTTCCCTCTGCCCCTCCTCCTGTTCATGTGCTCTCTCTCTCTCTAAATAAATCTTTTTTTTTTTTTAAAGATTTTATTTATTCATTTGATGGACAGAGATCACAAGTAGGCAGAGAGGCAGGCAGAGAGAGAGAAGGAAGCAGGCTCCCCGCTGAGCAGAGAGCCCGATGCGGGGATCGATCCCAGGACCCTGGGACCATGACCTGAGCCGAAAGCAGAGGCTTTAACCCACTGAGCCACCCAGGCGCCCCCTCTCTAAATAAATCTTAAAAAAACAACAAAACCTGAAAGTTCGTGCCTTTGATCAACATGTCCCATTCCCACCCCTCCCAACCCAGCACCTGGCAACCACCATTCCTACCCTCTGCTTCTTTACCTTTTGAAAATTACACATCTTGGGATGCCAGGGTCGCGCAGTCAGTTAAGCATCTGCCTTTGCCTCAGGTCATGTTCTCAGGGACTAAGTCCACTAAGATGTGGAACTAAGTCCCACATTGGGCTCCCACTCAGTGTGGAGCCTGATTCTCCCTCTGCCTGCTGTTCCCCCTGCTTGTTCTCGCTCTCTCTCTCTCTGACAAATAAATAAAATCTTAAAAAAACTTTTTTAAAGATAAAAAAATAAAAATTATACAACTGAGTGGCTTTATACATGTAAAGTGTCTGTCTTTCTGTGTCTGATTTATTTCACCTAGCTTAATGTCCTCCAATTTCATTCATGTTGTTGCAAATGGCAGGATTTCCTTTTTTAAGGCTGAATAATATTCCGCTGTAGGTCTGTACCACGTTTTCTTTATCCATCTCTCCGTGAACATGTTGTTTCTGTATCTTGGCTATTGTAAACAATGCTGCAATGAACATGACAGTCTTCGAGATAATGATTTCATTAACTTTGGGGATATTATTCTTAAAATACTAGTAGAATTGCCAGAGTTTAAACATCCAGCAAATGGAGTTCTGCTAAAAAGTGCTGAATAGAAAAGGTTTTCAGTGACTGTCACTGGCCGCTGTAGAACCTGAGGGAAATCAACGGCCTCCTCTCTGGGGCCTGTCAAACCAAAAGTCATGACTTGTGGCCACTTTAGACCTGTGGTCATTTCAAACCAGCACGAGTTTTTGTTTTTTTTCTCTTTATCCAGTCTACTGTTTAGTTATTCGTATGGCTTAATTACTCTGAGATCTCAAGGGTGAAAGAAGAGATCGAAGAACAAAAAGAACCAGCCCAGCGGCATCCAATATACAGGAGGTGTGATTTCTCTGCTCACCATGTCCAGGGAGTGGCTGCAAAGAATCCTGTGATAAAGATCCCTGATAAGAAAAAGGCATTAAGGGGCATCTGGGTGGTTCAGTGGGTTAAGCCGCTGCCTTCGGCTCAGGTCATGATCTCAGGGTCCTGGGATCGAGTCCCACATTGGGCTCTCTGCTCAGCAGGGAGCCTGCTTCCCTTCCTCTCTCTCTGCCTACTTGTGATCTCTGTCTGTCAAATAAATAAATAAAATCTTAAAAAAAAAAAAGAAAAAGGCATTAAAAAGTGTGTGTGTGTGTGTGTGTGTGTGAGAGAGAGAGAGAAAAAAACAGTTACTAAAATTTTATAAGTGAATCTCCTTGAAATAATATTTTCAATGAAATGTCTGGGTTCCTTCTCTCTTTGAACTTGGTGGGGGTATTATTCAATTTTCAACTAGGCCTGGTTATTTCCTTCCCCAGTTAAAAAATTTGTAAAAGAGTCATCTGTTGATTGGCGAGGACCCTCCCATATTATGCTTTGCCCTGCACATGATTTATTTTTCACTTTTCTTTCTAAAAGAATCTTTAATAGGTTACCATTTCTGAACTAAAATCTCAGAAACTAGAGTTCTCGGTCAATGATTTTGTAGATAGTTGTATTTCAGCAGTGGGTTTGTTATCGGACGGAGATTTATGAATGGGCTCATGTTTCTTGAAGTGCTAGCTTCACACAGACTTGTTCACTGGCCAAAAAAACCCCAAAAACAAAAACAAAAATAACAACATACAGATGCAGCAATAATCCCCATTTTAGAAATGGAGGGAGAAAAGCACTATTCATCTAGAAGTCGTGGTAGGATTAGAATAGGACAGAGAGCGGCTAATAAGAGAGCTAGGATGACAGGAAAAAAGATCAAACTCAGCCAGAATCAAATAGCTATTTCTCTGATCATTTACACCATCTTATCAATACTTGTACAGATCTGGTAGTTAACTCTGCAACCATATGTGGTGATAGGTATTTAATGATTGTAAATATTTTACTCTTTGTAATTTACTTTACTCTTAAGTTCACTTGTAATAAGTATATAAATTATAAAGAATTCATTTTATAGCATGAGATTGGTCAATCTCAAGAATCTTTTAATTACCTTTATTGAATCCTAAATTAAAAGAACCACTTCTGGTGTTAAGAAGAGGAACCTAGGGGGCACCTGGGTAGCTCAGTAGGTTGAGCCCCTGCCATGCTCAGGTTATGATCTCAGGGTCCTGGGATCCAGCCCCACATCAGGCTCTCTGCTCAGTGGGGAGCCTGCTTCTCCCTCTCTTTCTCTCTGCCTCCTTGTGATCTCTGTCAAATAAATAAATAAAATCTTCAAAAGAAAAGAAAAAAAAAAAGAGGAACCTAGGATCCAGCCAACCCGTTCATGTTTTTTTTGTTTGTTTGTTTGTTTTTTAAGTAGGTGGCATGCCCAACATGGGGCTTGAACTCATGACCCTGAGATCAAGAGTTGCATCCTCTACGGACTGAGCCAAGCAGGTGTTCCTGGCTGTTTTTTTTTTTTTTAAGACTGATTGATTGATTGATTGATTGATTTGACAGAGATCACAAGTAGGCAGAGAGGCAGATAGGCAGAGAGAGAGAGGGGGAAGCAGGTTCCCCGCTGAGCAGAGAGCCCATGTGGGGCTTGATCCCAGGCCCCTGGGATCATGACCTTAGCTGAAGGCAGAGAGGCTTTAACCCACTGAGCCACCCAGGCGCCCCCTGGCTGTTTTTTTTTTTAAGCAGATGATAGTAGCTGTGTAACAGATTACTTCTCACGTAGGAGCTTAAAACAGCACTTATTCTCTCCTACAGTTTCTGAGAGTCAGGAATCAGGGAATGGCTTAGGGTCCCCAGAGGTTGCTGTCAAGTTGTTGGGTTGGGGGACTAATGTCACCTCGAAGCTTGCCTAGGGCTGGAGAATTCACTTCCAAGCTCACTCGTGTAGTCTTCTGCAAGTCTCAGTATTTGCTGGCTGTGGGATGGTGATCTCCATTCCTGTGGGCCTCTCGGCCTCTCTGGAGGCTTCCTGAATGTTCCACCAAGTGACCTGAGAAAGCAAGCAAGAAAGAGAGCACCGCAGATGGAAAAATTAGTCTCTTAAAATCTTGAAAATGAAATATGATCACTTCTGCTCTATGCTATTGGTCCAATGTGTTAGGAGACTGACTATACGAGAGTGTGAATATCAAGAAGCAGGGATCATTGGGGGGCTGTGTGGGGGCTGGTGACCACTGTGGCTACCAAATCTCTCAGATATGCTATTTGGTAAATTTAAAAGAACCTCTAATAATTTCAATTTTAAATGTACTTACATTATACATTATGCTGCAAATTTCATCCTGATCAATTCTTTTGGGGATAAGAGAGTAACTGTTTGAAGATCACTGGACTAGTAGTTCTTCTATCCAGTGTATCCCTCTTCTGTTCCTCTGGTTCTTTCTCTCTCCCACGTCGTGTTAATTTATCTTAAAGACGGGGACTGCTGATAAATGAAAAGACAAACCTCAAATCAGAAATCCTAATTTGAGTATGTACTTGTAAATGGGAAAGATTGCTTCATATTGGACTATCCCTGAAAATCTAGGACTTCTGGATATAAGAAAATGGATCAAGAACGTTACTTTTAAATAAACAGCATTTATTGGGTCTTTTGGCCGGCTCACTCGGAAGAGCATGTGACTCTAGGTCTCAGGGCCATGAGTTCAAGCCCCACGTTGGGCATGGAGCCTACTTTAAAAAAATTAAAAATGGCATTTATTAAACAGCTAAATGCTTCCTATGAGCAAGACACCTTAGAGCTGTGAAAGACACCAAAAGAATATAATCTAGGATCTACTAAAGTTACAAGCTGCAGAGTATGGTACCTGGCTGTTCGGGAGATGACATCCTAATTGTGTTTTAAAATTGTATACAATGGTCACATTTCTATGGGATACAATTGATACAATTTTTAAATCTTCTTATTTTTTTTTAGGTAGGCTCTACACCTAGCTTGGAGCCCAAAGTGGAGCTTGAACTCACAACCCTGAGATGAAGACCTGAGCTGAGGGGAAGGGAGGAAAAAAAAAAAAAAAAAGATGAAATCAGAGAGGGAGACAAACCATAAGATACTTTTTTTTTTTTAAGATTTTATTTATTAGAGAGAGGGAAGAGGGAGAGAGAGCATGGTGGGGGAGGGGCAGAGAGAGAGGGAGAAGCAGACTTCGTGCTGAGCAGGGAGTTCAATGTGGGGCTCTGAGGACCCCGAGATCATGATCCAAGCTGAAGGCCCACACTTAACCCACACAGTCACCCAGGTACCCCTCATGAGACTCTTAATCATACCTCAAACTGAGGGTTGCTGGAGAGTATGTGGGTGGAAGGATGGGGTAACTGGGTGATTCGCCCTCCTTAATGCCCATGATATAATGAGCACTGGGTATTATATGCAACTGCCGAATGACTGAATTCTACCTCTGAAACTAATACACTGTATGTTAGTTAGTTGAAATTATAAAAAAAAAAAAGTTTCTACAAAAAAACCCAAAAAACAAAACAACAACAAAAAAACTGAGCTGAGATCAAGAGCCAGAAGCCTAACTGAACCATCCAGGCACCCCAAGGGATACAATTTTTTTTTTTTTTTAAGCTGTGTGCAATTTACAGAGATGAAATTCTGCTTACGTTTTTCATTAGGTAAGCCACGTGTTTATATTTAATGAAGGCATAGCTCAGATGAACGTACCAGGTTCACTTAAGCCAAAAATGCAAAGCCAGTAACTATGGGTAACAACTGTTGGAAAGATGCTGAGATTTTACTGAGGCAAACCACAATGAACCTGTTTAAACCACAGTTTGTGTATTTTATCAGGAACTAGCCTTGAAAGTTCACCGAGCAAGGCTACATCCTATTCCTAACAATTTACCACTTCATAGTGGAGAAAAGGCTGTTGCACTCACTTTTAAGTGGAAAATGTGCTATGTCCTACTTGTATAAATCTTAGTTGAACCAAAAGAGCAATAAGCATCCAGTGCTGTTAGAATGTTTTCTTCAGTACTATAAACACTCTCACTCAACTACACGAGCTAAAATTATGGAAAGGATTGCAAAACAAAACACAAACTGCTTTGGGAAATCTCCAGTCGAAGCTACACGAAGCAAGCAGAACTTTGTAAAAAGCCGGCTGAAGAGTCTGGCTCCCGCGCTCACCGGATGAGCAGTTAGGGCTGGGGTTCTGGAATCTTTGTTGAGTTTGCAGACCCCCTGCCTACAGCGGGGCCGACAAGAAAACGCGCGTTCAGACAGCTCGCGATCATTTCCCTCCGCCGAGCCGGGCTCGCTACGACGGACGCCGCCGGTGGCCGCACGCTGGGCGCGGACAGCCGGGCTGGACACTCCACTTGGGTCCGGGAGGCTGGCGCGTGCACGGGGCTTCTCCGGGGTCAGGCGCAGGGCCTCGGCCGTCCTGCGTCCCATGAGCTTCGTGGCTGGGTCGTTCCCCCGAGCAAAACGGGCCAGGCGCCCCTCCCCGTCCGCCCTCGGGCGCAAGGTGGTAGGATAACGGAGATCCTAACCAGAAGGAGGACCCAGACCACGGAGGCGGGAGGACGCGCCTCTGAGGGCCTACTCCCGAGCTCCCGCCTCCTTCGTGGCGGTCACCCGGGGACACAGGCGAGGCCACATGGGTCGAGTCAGGACGCTCCGGGCCGAGTCAGAGCAGGCGCCGGCCGCACCCACGGGGGACAAAAGGGAAAGGCGGAGGGGCGGTGAGGGGGCGGGGCGCCAGCACGGGGCGGGGCGAGCGAGGGGCTCCCGGCATGCCGCGCGGCGCCCGGCTTCCGGCTGTGGGCGGTGCGGGGGTCGGCGGCGGCCGGAAGCGGGCTGAGCCGCCCTCTCGGAGCGCTCCCTGCACTTCCGGGGGCATAGAGCCGGGCTGTAGAGTCTTCCGGTAGGCGGTGCAGGAGGAGAAAGGCTTGAGGGGCAGGGCCGGGCGGATCCCCTTCTCTCCCAATGTGAGCAGTGTCCCGATCCCCCGTCAGGCGAAAGGCTGCCTAGAGAGGTGGAGCCGGTGGCCGGGCCGGGAACATGAGGCAGTGTCTCCTCTTCTTGACCAGCGTGGTTCCTTTCGTGCTGGCGCCACGACCTCCGGACGATTCCCCGGAGCGACTCGGTAAAGACCCCGGAGAGTTGGCTTAGGGCCGGCCGGGCGCCTGGAGCGCGCTGCTTTCGGGGAAGAGCGGGGGAGCAGAACTTTCAGGTGTTTAGGGGCGGGGTATTGGACGGTGGCGCGTCCCAAAGTTTTCGGTGCAGAAAGGGGGTGTGGCTCTCGGAGTTAGGGAAGGCAGGGAGAAGGGCTTGTCCTTCTGAATGGGAAAGGGATACTGGCAGGGCCCCCCGGTGGTGACTGAGGCCTGGGAGGGGTTTCCCTCCAGAATTGGTGTTCGGGGAGTGTGTTTTGGAAAGCGGTAAGGGGGGTGGTGTTGCCTCGTATTTGGGGAGGGAGATGTGGTCCAGGTCCCTGCCCTACCAGGGTGTTCTGCCAAAGCCAGGACTTGGTGTGTGTGTGGGTGGTGGGGGGCTGCGGATAGGAAGGGCCCAAAGCTCCACAGCTCTTTCTGGCTCTGCAAGGAGCGACCTAGAATTTCTTCTGTAGGAGGTTCTTTATGTAGTAATCTGGTTGGAAGGCGGTGACTGGAGAACTCATCTTGGACTTGGGTTTTGCGACCTTTGTAAGCGTGTACTTACTTAAATTGCAGTTTATGGGGGTGCTGGGAGGGGGCGCTTGAACCTACCAGGCCGACTCTTTTGATACTGCTTGAATGACTTCCTTGCCATTTTAAACAAACAAAAAAAATTACCAGGGATGACCAATTTGAACAGTTTTGAGCCCAGGAAGTAGAGGGTTCTTAGATTTTCTTTATTTTTTTTTTCAACTGACACTTTTTTTAAAATTTAAATTCAATTTAGTTAACATATGCTCTATTACTATTTTCAGGGGTAGAATTTAGTGATTCATCGGTTGCGTATAACACCCAGTGCTCGTTACATCAAGTGCCCTCCTAATGCCCATTACCCAATTATGCCCCGCCCCCCCTTACTTAGATTTTTCTGAAGAGATTGGATTTTAGGATGGACATACATTAGAAGATGTGCAATTTGTGTAAGCTTACGAAGTCTTAGGATTCTTTGCCGTACGGAAGTTGACATATAAGACAGTTTAGTAATTAAATACGAATCACAGTGTATTTTCCCAGTGTTCAAAGTTGATTTTTCACGGTTGTATTGGTCTCCACATCCCACCATGATTCTGTGAGTCGTGTTGTGTTGGTTGAGACACATGTGGGTTTTCTTTGTAGCTAATTAAAACTTTCACATTAGTTTACCTGGCAGTTTTTTAGTTTAATGGACAGAAATGGTAAGTGACTGAGGGTATTAAAGCTGTTGAGTGTTCTCACCTGAACAACTGCGTTGTGGTTATCTCAAACTGAAATGGATTACAGGTGACTAGTGTAATGAAAGGCAAGGGAGCTTGTTAGGAAGGGCTGAGATGTGAGAAGTCAGTACATACTGAAGGGAAATTTTGAGGTAGTGATGGTCAGGATGGAGAGATATAGAGTAGGGATCTACTTCATAAGAATAAATGTTAACAAAAACAAACGTACTTTGAGATACTAAAATTATATTTTTACTGTAGCACAGCTGTATCATTTTTATCATCATGCTCTTGTTCACAGGTGGAAAAATAGGTAGCAGGAATCCTAAGGAAGCACATAGTATAAAGGAAAACCTTACTTTCTAGATGAATCCTCCACAACATTCACAGATCATAGAGGTTTTTTGTTTTGTTTTTTTCGGCTGTGTTTTTAATTTGCAAAGTGCTGACTACAAGTGCCAGAAGAATGCATAGACTTACCATGTATTCACATAATGTTAGAAGAGCACTAGCTCTTCTAACCTGAACCTAGCCTCGGAAGGTTATCAAAGGCTCCCTGAAGGAGGCGGCACTCAAGGCCAGATTTTAAGTTTAGGTAGGTGAAGAGGGAAAATAAGGACACTCCTGGTGGGGGCATTTAGATATTGTAGTGTTGAAATAAACCTTATAGATCATGTTTTAGTTTTTAAAATAAAACAGTAGGAAAAGAGTCTCAGAAAGGTGTACTGAGTTGTCGTATTCTCACAGTGATAAATATATGCCTTATGAGTAATTTTTCTTTTGAAGAGTGACTCTGTGTGTGTGTGTTTAATGGCTCCGGATATGATTAGTTGCTTAACTTAATCTTACCATTATTTAGATGGTCAAGATCAAAAAATAGTTTTATAGTTAAAGAGCATGGCCTACTGGTCTTAAAATGTTACTATAATTTCAGTATTAAATTTTTTAAAAGTAAACACTACCCACCATGTGGGGCTCAAACTCACAACCTTGAGATCAAGAGATGCATGCTCTACCAGCTGAGCCAGCAAGGTGCCCCAAAGTACTAAATATTGATTAGGGATTTGATAACTTTTTAAAAAAGATTTTACTTATTTATTTGAGAGACAGAACAAGAGCAGGTTTAGGTGCAGAGGGAAAGAGAGAAGTAGATTCCATGCTGAGCAGGGAGCCTGCAGTGGGGGGGGGGGGTGCTCAAACCCAGGACCCTGAGATCATGACCTGAGCTGAAGGCAGATGCTTAACTGACTGAGCCACCCACGCCCTCCCCCCACCATGGATTTGACAACATTTTTCTGAAGGATAGAAATATATACTAGAATCCTGGCTTCTGGAGTACTCCACAGGACACCCGAGATGATTTCAATTGAACTGTTATGAATTGCATAATTCAGGAAAGTTATGAGTCATGTGAACTTAGTCATGATGATATCTTCTTGAAGTTGCAGCTGGGGTGTATAAGTCTCACTCTGATTTCAAAAGTGCTTTCCCTTTGTGTTACTTTTAATAAAAGAGGATGTAGTGGGTGGAGGGAAAAAATATAGGTCACAGATGAGGGATGAAGGTTTGCATCTGAAACATATTTTGAAATTTACCTTGAGGTTATTGGTGTGGGGATTCTCCACATTGCAGTGCTTGTTTTTCATTATTGACAGCCCCATTTTGCTCAATATTTTGACATCTGGCTTCCTCTTTTGATGTTAATTTTGCTTACAGGCTGCATTCTTTTGAAACTGAAACACTTAATCACCCTAACTGTTCCAAGGGAGATTTCATGCCAGTCTGCTTGGAACTAGTAAAAGAGAAGACTGTAGTTCTAGAATAGAATGAAGAGGGGCGCCTGGGTGGCGCAGTGGTTAAAGCCTCTGCCTTCAGCTCAGGTCATGATCTCAGGGTCCTGGGATCGAGTCCCAGGGTCCTGGGATCGAGTCCCGCATTGGGCTCTCTGCTCAGCAGGGAGCCTGCCTCCTCCTCTCTCTCTGCCTGCCTCTCTGCCTACTCGTGATCTGTCTGTCAAATAAATTAAAAAAAAAAAAAAAAAAAAGAATGAAGAGGTAAGCAGAAAGCCATGGTGGAGACATTGGGAGAAATCGTATAACTTTTACAGAGTTTCGAGAATATTAAGTGTAGGTGTCCTTTGAGGCCAAGTGTCATTGATTTTTGGGTTCTTTACCATTTTGTATTTGTGAGGGATGGTGTTTTCAGTTGAAAGTATGATTTAAATAAAGTCTGAAAAAGATTGATAGAGGAAAGAGGGGACTGGAGTAGGAAATGGGTTTTACTGAGGTAGGGAAGTGAAATCAAGTGCTTTTTCATATATCCCTTAACTTAGCCCTGAAATCAACCAAAGGGATTGGTATCTACCTGCCCATACCGCATCTTTCTCTCTTCCGTTTTCTTTTAACGTGAGTCGCAGGCCTTGACACGTCTCATCTGCTGTCCTGGTTTCACTTACATTTCATTGTATTCTGATGACTGCTAAATATATACTCTGATCTGGACTTGTTCTCTGAAGCTCCAAACTCATGTATCCAACTGTCCACTTGATATTTCCATCTCTGTATTCACAGGCACTTCAAATATAATATGTGCAAAATTACTTCCTGTCTACTTGTTTGATGAGAAGGAAGTATAGGGTACAGTGTTTAGTCTAGGAAGAGACAGGGGTACTGGAAATTGTGGAATTAGCCTCCGTGCCCAACTAAGATTTGTGTATGGACCAATCTGTTTCCTTAGAGGGTCCTTTGGGCTGTGCTGACTTTTCTTGGGCTCAGCATTTCCATGTGATTGGTATTGCTGGGGAATCTTGTCCCTGCTGAAGAGTTCTTGGTGGGGAATTATTGAGGTAGCTCATCCTCCATCCCCCACTAACTGGTGTAAACCCAGAAAATTAAGTTGTTAATTCCCAAGCTCCGGGTCCACTGCCTAGCAGAGAGCACTGCTCTCCTTTTTCTCATCCTTTAGTCACAGGGAGGGATTCACCTACATCTAGGGCCTACGTCACGGTAACCTGGCCAGGTCACTGTCTTCTCTTGCATAATTTGGGGAGTCCTGAAGGACATTCAGGTCCCATGGGTCTACTGCACAAGCGTACTGAACACTTCACAGCAGTCCTGGCTTTTTCTTTTCCATTTCGGACGCCAGAAGTGAGAGCATGGCACTGATAGTGTCATCTTGGGAAACTCCGCATCACACAGCGGAGCAGTTGAAAATGAGAAGAGGGCTACTGGGTTTCTGCATTATACTTGCCAAGTTGTATTCCAAGAATGTTCAGTTTCTTGCAAAAAGAAGAGAAATTAAGTAAAAAGTCCACAAATGTTCCTGGACTCATTTTGTACAACAGTTGATTGTTTTTACCCTGGGACACCTAACTCAGTGGGTTAAGTGTCTGCCTTTGGCTCAGGTCATGATTGCAGGGTCCTGGGATCGAGTCCGGCATCGGGTTCCCTGCTCAGCGGGGAGCCTGCTTCTCCCTCTGCCTGCTGCTCTCCCTGCTCACTCTCTTTCTGACAAATAAATAAAATCTTAAAAATTTTTTTTAAAAACCCTTTAAAATACTGGTTTTATCTTTAAAGTGCTAACTCTGAGCTTGACAAAGGAAATACGGGTATAGTTTGTCGTTACAGACGGCGGCGGCCGCAAAAGCGCGTCTCCCAGCGATGCGGCGACTTGGGTGTGAAAGAACGGTGGAGTGGTGGGCTTATCAGTCTATAGGCCACTTCACAACTCCATGGAGA